TTTCCCCCCCCCCCCCCCCCCCCCCCCCCCCTCTTATCCCACCTTTTGACCCTGGAAGCGCTTCTGGACGTCTTTATGGGCACCAGTAAGCTTGGAATGGAAGCCCCTGGTGTGTTCCATCAGCTACTGGATAAGGAAGGCAGGAAATCCTTTAAATCCCTCCACACACAGCCTACAAAACTCACTGCCTTGTAAATAAATACCTACAAGGGAAACGTTTTTGTTACTTCCACCAGAGAGGACCCACACTCACTAAGCACGATATCCTTGCTGTACGGGCAACTTACTCAATAACGCCCATCCACCTGAGCATGTGAGTTTAAAAGATACATTGTCCAAATTTAAGAAAATTTGGGAACCCTGGCCAAGGCATTTTCTACCAGCCTCCTTTGACCATCGCCAGAGAGACCTAAAACATAACAACCATCAGGATTATGTTCCGCATGCCTTAGACAACCAGGAGTGCTCTGACCCTGTAACCCCTCCTGCACCTAACTGGTTGGATGAATATACTAGATTGATCCACCATGCATTCTTGTCCAATAATTGCCACAATTATTCTGCCATTTTTGCCTAAAACCTGAACTGGTCAATTTACATGCCTAACCTCAGTAAACAGATGATTTGAACTGCCATTACTCTCATGACCTCACCTTGTATTTTCATGTCGTGCTTGTTTTGAAAAACTCAATAAAGGCTTATTGAATTAAAAAAAAGTGGACGTCAAAGCAAACCTTTATTTTTGGATGGAGTAAGGAAGAGTTGGAGCCTATGTCAGGTTTTTAATGCTATATGCCAGGGCTTCTAAAACTTTTTAATCCAAGAACCCAAATAAGAATATTGTTACTGTAGTGGAACCCAAGAAAACAATACTACCAAAATATCAGCAAATCCATACAAAGACAAATAACAATGGCCGTATAATGAAAGCAAACAGTAATAATTGCAGCTATGTATTCATAATCCATCAGGAAATGTTCCATGGCATGATGATAGTCATCTTCCCACAGCTAATACTGTTTTACAAGCCAACACTCAATCTTACCCTTCCATGGCTGTTTTGCAACAGAAGAATAAATTGGGTTTGTTTTTATGGTGTTAATGTTTTGGTTAAAAAAATGCCTTTTTAACTTGTTAAATTAAAGGCTTTCATTACTAAAAACTTCCCCTTACAATACACGTTGTGGGAGCACATCACCATTTTGGTAAGCTCTAGTATAGCTGAGAGAAATAAAACATTTGTTGAACTTTATTTTAGTAGACATTTGCAAATAGCCACAGGGTCTCTTAACCTCACAACCTTGTCAGTGTTTACCCCCCGCCTTGCACATGCTCTTTTTCTCCATACGTGTCTGTGTTGTCAATTGCAGTCAGCAGGGGCAAGCCTAGTCTTTTTGCTGCTTGAGGTGAAGTATGAAATGGCGCCACCTCCAGCTAACATTATAGCCATGCAAACCGTTTACCCCAGACAAACTGCTCCATTACATACGTGTTCATTTACTTTTAATCATATGACCAAACATGTGCCATAATTAAAACAGTCAATTTAGAGCAACGACTCAGTCCTAACTAATTAGTTGGTGCACACATAATAAAGGTCAATAGAGACCAAAACATTAGACACCATTTTCGCTGATAAACAATAAAATAAAAATAATTACATTGTTCACAATACCCACAACAAGTAATCTGTCTGGCTTTACAGCTGAAAATGCCTGCCAAGCATACCTCCCAACATCAGAACTTGGGAAAGGGAGACACCTGGAGAACAAATTAAAATGATGCAGCGTGAATAAGGATCAGTGTCCACAAAGTGTCCATGTGCCGAAAATGATGCAGCCTACTCAAAACAAAGGTCCATGGCTACATTGTGCTAAATATTGGACATGGCTTAAAGTAGAGAGTGAGGCTAATTATAGTATAAACTGTACACAGTCTTTGTACCAACCAAATACCACTTAATTACTGTGCTATGAGAGAGAATCTCACAAACCCAAATAAACCTAAAAGGATATTAATAAATAAAACAGAATATAGACAGGAAGCCAACACTGTAGTCCAAGACTACCTTGAAGAAGAAACCATCACAAACCACACAGCAACAAGCAAGAATTAAGAAAATAAACACTTAAGTCAGAACTATGTAACACACAACATATTAAAAGCATTTACATGCTTCGTCATGTAGTTTCACAAAAAAAAAAATCACTGTATATGAACGAAGGATTGTGGCACTGCATTTGTTCATACATCACAGTATTTTGTAATTATCAGTCATGAAGGGGTTAAAGGGTAAGTTCATTTTCCCAGGTAAAATGGAAAAATAAAAATTACGCGATTAAATCTGGCCCCGTCTCTCCCAAACCACCACCCCCATGGCTATACTTAACTTTCGGGGAACAATCCCTCCCCTCCGCCAGTATGGGTGTACTATCTGACCCCCGTACTGCTGTCCAGCGCAGTCCTCCCCTATGCATTTTGAATTTCACTCGCAAATTGTAAGCACTCATTGGTCAACGTGGTCAGATGACTGCGCTGAACAGTGAGCAGCGCTATTTAGCACAGTCAAATATGTTTTGATTAGGGATGCACAGATACTAGTATCAGTGCGATAGAGTATTTGGGCGAGTACTCGTACTCACCCAAATGCTCTGATACCTTCCCATATTGGAACTTCCAAGGCCAGATGAAAATTTCCTCTGACTGGCAGAGCCGGCAAGGAGCCAGCTTTCCGTGCAATCAGGAAGCCGCGTGGCAAGTAATGACCCGCCTCCTGGTTTTCTGATTGGCAGGGAAGCCGGCTCCTTGCTGATTGGCTTGAAAGCTGGCTTACTGGCCAATCAGCATCGAGCCAGGTTTCCCGGTCAATCAGGTAATTACCGTGTTTCCCCGAAAATAAGACACTGTCTTATATTTTTTTTGGCTCAAAAAAACACAATAGGTCTTATTTTCGGGGTAGGTCTTATTTTTCTTTTTTATGTAGAACAATCCATACTTATTCATGTACACAAATATGGTGATTAGGGCAATCAGGGGTGCCGTACCTTTCCAAGAGCAATTTGGTAACCAATCGCTGGCCAGAACGAGTGAAGTGCACTTTCACTATCGATTCCTGACAGGCGGAGTGCATTTGGTATCACTCCGCCTGTGACAGGAGCCGGCGCTATAGAGGAGGCATCGGCTTATGCGGCTCTGCTCCCTCCGCTGCCGCCTCACTTCCTTTAGCGCTGGCTTCGTTGGCACCGCTGATTCTCTCCTGCCTCTCCCGCAGCTCTTCAAGTTCCCCCTTATGCCACCACTGGCCCTGGGTATGGTCGCAACTAGGTCTTATTTTCGGGGTAGGTCTTATATTTTAGCAATTTCCAAAAATAGTACTAGGTCTTATTTTCGGGGTAGGTCTTATTTTCGGGGAAACAGGGTATAAGGTAGGTCTTATTTTTCTTTTTTATGTAGAACAATCCACACTTATTCATGTACACAAATATGGTGATTAGGGCAATCAGGGGTGCCGTACCTTTCCAAGAGCAATTTGGTAACCAATCGCTGGCCAGAACGAGTGAAGTGCACTTTCACTATCGATTCCTGACAGGCGGAGTACATTTGGTATCACTCCGCCTGTGACAGGAGTCGGCGCTATAGAGGAGGCATCGGGTTATGCGGCTCTGCTCCCTCCGCTGCCGCCTCACTTCCTTTAGCGCTGGCTTCATTGGCACCGCTGATTCTCTCCTGTCTCTCCCGCAGCTCTTCAAGTTCCCCCTTATGCCACCACTGGCCCTGGGTATGGTCGCAACTAGGTCTTATTTTCGGCGTAGGTCTTATTTTCGGGGAAACAGGGTACTCGCCACACGGCTTCCTGACTGACCAGGAAGCAGGTTTCCCGGCCAATCACAATCAAGCAGGCCAAACAACATGGAGCCGGCTTCCGTGGCAATCAGGAACCTGGGCGGGATGTCATTACCAGGTGCCTGGCTTCCTGATTAACAGGGAAGCCTGCTCCATGCCAGCGGAAGCACCGGTATCAGTATTCAGTGTCGGCGAGATCCGAAAGCAAAAAAAATCGGTACTCGTACTCGATACCGAAAAACGGGTATTGGTGCATCCTTAGTTTTGATTAAAACTATTTTTTTGTATTGGGACAAGTAGAATTGTCATGAAGGACAAGTAGATTCGGCCCCCACTTTAGTGTGGATATAAGACGCAAAACTTTGATTTATCAGCCCCGCAATTGCTTACGGTAGTTTATGGGGTGATTGCTTAATAAGGTTTCTTTTATACCTGCGTGGGGATCCACCCAAGAACCAACTATGACAGGCCCACATATTGGACAGTTCGATTATTGTAAAAGAACCGAGACCACTATCTTGTGTGATGTAAGTATGATCCAAGCTAATTGAATGTATATACTTGACACTTTAACAGCAAAGGCGAAAGTGGTAAATTGTTTGTATTTCAGGATATATTTAGACCATTTTGCTCATCTATGCAAAGAAGTTGATTAACATATGATATACCCCTCATTAATACAAGCCAAACCCACTTATGTAACCCTCTAGACACCCAAAACTATGAATTTCTAGAACTCTCATTGCAGATCCATAACAAGCTCACTTGGAACAAGATAACCCAGAGCCTCACTTGCTTGTTCCTACTTACCAAAACATACCTTTCACATGTCCACACATTCTTGTTAATGAACTCTCTACAACGTTGGAGGAGCTGATGGAAACAAAACCAGGACCACAAGGTCTGTAGCCTGACTGAAGCCATGTTCAGAATTCCCCAACACCATTTGATATTAGTATGCAGGCCTGTAGTGCCACACAATGTGTTCTGCCTTCATTCATTACAGACATACACCTTTCTGCTAGGAATAAATACAGTACATGTTTATAGAAGTGTAGATCATGGATCTTCGTGCCTCTGTAGCAGCATTAGTCATCCTGACACTCCTGAGGCATCCCCTATATTACCAGTTGGTGTAGAAGTAAATGGGAAAAGGAAAAATCACGATTCTTACATTTTTTGTATACATTTGTCCAAAAAAAAAAAAAATCAGTAACGCCACAAGTTTGTAATTAAATTACATATTTATTGAATCACAAATGTTTAGTTCAATAATAAAAAATATTACAAACATGACCCTTTAATCAAGTTGGCTTGTTAGTACTTAAATGTTAGAAAGTCACTATTTTTAGCCTGAAATAACAATTCAAAGCTTGTTGTTATCAAAAGTATCATGCCATAATAAATCCTGTATTTGTATCAAAACATATAAAAACAAGGTCTCCACAAAATTAGTTTGTTGAAGACTGAATTTTGTGCTTGTACCATCATACAAATCTTTACAGAGATGCAGAAGAGTTCCAATTGCTATTCAGAGTTTGTTAATGTTATACATTGTCTTATAATTACATTTCAAAGAGTTTGATGTACTCCTGTGCTGTAGGACTTGGTGGGTGAAATCTTGCAAATATATGCTAATATATAAAACCGAAGCCAAAAAGAAAACAGCAGCTGTTATTCAAATCCAAATGGAATTAAAGAAGAACTCAAGTGCAAAGGAGCATATTGTTTCAAAATCAGCAGCATGTCAAATCACTAAATATAATTAATTAAATTATTATGGTTACTTTAGGCAAATCTTTTCCTAAATTAGGACAACAGCTAATATGTGTCAATGGCGTGCCTGTATCAACCACTCTCTGCAATATTAGGTTGGCTGACAGCACGGCTCATACATAAGTGCATAAGAAAGCTTACATTTGCATAATGGAAGCAACATGTTCTGCCCTGATGGCACCTGTTCAGTAAGACACTATGAGGAGAAGCGGATACACACAAAGCCTGAATTTGAACCAGAAAAGCCAATGCTGCCTTTATGCTGGATTCTAACTCCCAAGTCATTTTGAATGGAACTCCAAATGCACTTCCACAACACACCTGCTCTGTAGTGCGCACAAACCACAGTAACACACTACTGCGTCAGAGAAAAATGTGCAGATGTGTTTGTTTTGTCTGTTCTGGTGCATTGACAGACCATTCAATGGAATGGACGGCCTTACCGAGTGACTTATGTACGCAATACGCCAGAGTGGACAAGTGTGATGGGGCCCCGAGTGTTTTAACCATATTACTAGTGTTAACCCAGTGTCCACTGCTGCTTGAATGTTTTGCCAAGCTAAGATCAATCATATCAACAGAAAAATGCCCTAATCAGAGGATTTCCATTGTGCTCTGCACAATTATATATACACTGTGGGTCCCCTGCTCATTGGATGCATCCCTAAAGACAGCGAGGGCTGGTCTGACTCACATTTTGGCTGTGCTAGAGACTGCATAGACTTGAATGCTAATTAAAAGATAACGGGGGGAATTTATCAAAACTGGAGCAGACAAAATCTTAAGCAGTTGCCCATGGCCACCAATCAGCATCGTTCTTCAGTTTTCTCAGGTAAGAGTTAACAATGAGACACAGAAGCTGATCTGGTTACAGTACAAATCTGCTCCGGATTTTGTCTGTTCCAGTTTTGATAAATTGCCCCCAATGTCCATATATTCTTACTGAGAGAAGTGTAAAAAGCGATGTGCCGTAACCTACAGCAACCAAGAACAAATAAACTATTAGTTTAACCCCATGGGCTAATTAAAGAGTTGATTTCTGCTTTATTACTGTGGGTTACTGTTCACCACTTCTCTTTGTACGGTTATTAAATAGAACATTTTAATGAATTGTTCACATTTGGTCTATAGGTTGAACTCGATGGACCCGTGTCTTTTTCAACCTGGCTAACTATGTAACATTCTGCAGTATAGGCCAGCAAGAATTATTTTCAATAATAAGGGGAAATAAGTCAAGAGCAAGGACCAATGTGCATACAACAACTTTACCACACCATTACTTACATTTTGCTGGCGGAGATGACTATTATCTTCCATGTGCTTAAATCTGGCTGTCAATATGAAAACCTGAGTGCAATGAACGAGTGCTAGGCAAAGCACCCTGGAGAAGAGATTATGCACACCAAACTGTCATTGTTTCCTCCAGACCTCATCAATAACAAAGACAGACTGCACCAAGGTCTGCAATGCTTCCTGCTTCATCTTATTAGTCAGGGTCATTATAAACCACTTAGATTTAACCTTAAAACCCAAACAAGCACCTGTATTTCAACAGTATCAAAATCGATTTTCAAGTTTAGATATATAATGTAAATGGCTTGACAGTGGTTTATATACAGTTCTAGATAAAAGCTTGTATATATCTAGATAGGCTTTTATTTTCCTGTAAACGTACAACTCCAGCATAATGCAGGCATAGAAAGCCATGTAAATTTGGGCTAATGCAAATCCTTCATTGTAAAAAAAAAGAAAATAGACCAAAAAGGTTGTTCTGCGGTGTTTGCCAAGTTACCGAGGCTGCCTGTATGAAATGCTCCTACTGTTGTGGGAGTATGAAACCTGCAGCAAAGCACCGTGATGCTGTGATGATTACCTGTGGTAACAGCCACAATTTGTCTACTACATGCACTTTACATTTCCTGTAGTTTTTACCCAAGGCCTATATAGAGCAGAGGGGCATCAGTGTTGTTTTGTCAGCATTTTCTTGGAGTGGGACAGTTGAGACCAGGTGCGGATACCTTCAGATCCAGGTATGTATCATTTGATATTTCATTGTTAGTGGGTTATCTCAGAACTTGGAAGTAGGCCAAAAAGGTTTGTTTTTAGGTTTGGTAGGAAGAATTAGGAGGTTAAAATGAATAGGTAAGGGAGAGGGAAAGGGATACGTTTTAGGGCTAGGAAACTTTAAAAAGGGGTCTTTTTAATGTTATTATAGGAATTGGTGAGCTAGGTTAAGGGTTAATTTCAAGGACTCGTTTATGGGTAACTAAGTGGTAGTGAGTAGATCTGGCATATAGGTTATGGGGTGACGATGGTTGTTAGGGATATCTGACATTTGAAAAGACATTGGTTCTTGCACAGGAATTCACATGCTCTCCATGTCTCAGATGTCTTCAGAATACACAGTTTTAAAGGAACAGGATTCAGAATATTTAACAGGAACTTAAATATTAACAAAACCACTGTACGTCTGTGTTAGTAAAGAATGCAACATGGCACAACTGTACAGGCATACATAGTACATGGCTGACCTAAATGAGAACTCCATTTAATGCTTTACAGTAGAAGTGGTGAGAAAAAGCTCACCTTTACAAACTCTTCAGGAACTGTACGTACTTGTTTCCATATTCCTCCAGAATATCTGCCTTGTCAGAGATTTTCCATAGCATTCTGTGGATTTGGCACATTCTAACAAGTGGAGGAAAACAAAATGTGCTAAAAGTACACTCAGATCTTGCATTTCAGTTGTGGGCGGATGCCAGTTGGTTCACCTGCCATCTTATTATGCAATTCTAGTGTACTGGTAAGCAGGGTTTCTGCACCTGAATTCAAAGGGCTGCACATAGGAGGTCTCACACTTCCCAAGAAGGCAGCAGGTAGCATGAGATGTCTCAGACTAAAGTAGAAGCAGAACCAGGGTGGGTGGGCGTGGGTGACTTTGTCCATCTAAAATCAATGTTTTATTTTTGGTGCATTGACGGTATAAAAATAAAAATGTAAACCTTTAAACTGGAGTAAGTAGGTGAGCCATCACCCTCATTTTTAAACACTTTTAAGGAGTTCCCCTTTAGGGCAACCTACAATGGAAGGGTTTGATGACACCGATGTTGCCTACTTTTGGTATAGTGCAAAGACCAAAAAGACCTTTTCTATCTGAAGTAAGGCACAATGTGATAGAAATATATCTTCCATCATCAAAAGCAGAAGCACAAAAAGGAGTATTGTACCACGTTAGTCAGGAACAAATATATTACAAATTCATTCAAAAACCTCACCCCCCCCCCACTGTGGATTTACATACAGTAAAGGGAAAGAAAAAAAATTATCTAGAAAATATATTCAGATAACAATTTCAACAGGGAGAATACAGCAAAATATTTCTAAAACTATCTGATACAGCTGATTAAAAAAAAGTTCATAGAAGCAGAACGGATACATCACGGTGCTTCTTGTGTTTCACCTGTAATTATATTCTCTTCATTAACAGCATTGTCTGTTTGCTCCATTATCTAAAACAAAAAAAGAGAATCAGGGGTTACTGCACTGAACTGTAACCACACCACTTAATACCCAGAAAAAGACATTATTTCAGTTCACAATGGTGAAAATGAAAAACAAAAGCAACAGAGATTGAATGGGCCTTTACATTACATTACCAAATTTACAGAGAAACTCACAGGTAACAGAAACCTCAATAATTTAGTGTCTACATCAGGATTTCAAAAAAAAAAAATCATATTCTTAGGCCTATGTCTTGCGATGGTTGTACGGTAATTAATAAAACGTACGCTCTGCCCATCTTGGACAGGCAGATCGTACTTGCGATCATCGCAAGCCCTCCGATGACTGCAATGCTGAATGGGCAGTGTGCGCTTGCGCACACCGGCCCGTGCGGCATTTGTCTTACGAGCAGGCCACAAACCCGCCGACAATCGTGCGATTCTCGGCGGGAAACACTTAGGAAAACAGGATTTTTATACTCATTGTAACATCAGTTCATTGGTGAAAACAGGTGTCAGGTTTTCAGAGACAATTGGGTTATACTGACACCAACAGGAGGGTTTGGACACTGGCAAAAAAACAAACCAAAAACCAGTAGCTAGCTGAGTTTAACCACTCCCATTCCCAGCATGCTAAAGTGTGATAATTGCTGGCTTATTCACTATGTGTCCTCACATACTGTCCACCTTCTGACCATGCAGTGTGTGAGGTCAGGCAGTTGACTGAATTTCACATGACCTCTGTCCTCCAACACTCCAACCAAAGTATATATTTTTATCTCTTGTTAATTAAGGGACACGGGATTCAGTTATTTAGAAATTAGGTTATACCGTCTGTAACAGGAGGGTGATAACAGCAATAGAAGCTACAAAATCTACCGATACCGTTAAGCAATGTCATTACCCCCCTCCCTTGCTTTTCTGCATGAGGTAGCATCTTCCTGCCATTGCCCATGTAAGAGACCCGCAGTTTCCCTATGGTTGGTCCTTGCTGCCACCTTCGGTGACCTGTTGAATCTTTCTTGCTTGCTTTCAGCAGTTGGTTTGCAAGCTAGGTAGTCTCCGTTAAGCAGTACATGTCCGATCGCAAGGGTTCTGCTGCCCTGGGTCTCCCCAGCTCACAATCCACTAACCGTTCCGGGGTGGCCTGCAGAGCTGAAAAGGTATCCGACACTGACATCCTGGATCGTTGTCTCCTGCTTGAGTCCAGGCACTCCTCAGAGTCTTCCTTAGCTGCTTCACATGTTGCCCCCTACTCTGCCTTATCAAGTGAGTAGTTTGCCACAGTTATGCTTTATTTTAGGTTCCAGGTTTCAACTATGTTTGCTGACTCAAAAGGCACTAGTAAGTGTACTTCTGTGCCTTCACCTCCAGACTCTATGTCTGATATATCTTCAGCTGTAGTGGCCTCTGAACTTTCTGCTGTACAAGAGTCAGTACAAGAGTCCCCAGAAGGCTGCTAAATGAAATTTTCATTTTTGTGATAATTTTAAAGGCTAATGTTAGAAACGGCTTTTGCCATAGACTTTGCACAGCTGTGATATATGCTTTTCAGTAGATGTTTATAATTAGAATTGTCACCATTACCTCATAACTTCCTCCGTTCCAGAACTTCTTCATTTCCTTTCTTCTCCAGGCAATAACAGAACTTGTCAAGAGGGTACACGGCACTAGATACAGGAGAGCCGGCTGGCCCATCTTCATCACCATTAAAATGATGAACGTCAACACCATCCCCACAGCATAAGCTGCAATTTAAAAATAACCAGTAGACAAATGAATTAAATATACCAATTATAAACTAGCAAATATGTGAGGAAAAACACCCCAAAAAGTCTAGCTGTACAATAAGTGTAAATACTTACCTCCCCCACTGTCCGTGCCAGCGACTCCATTCACAAAAATTACTCCTCTGAAATCTGCTGAGATGCCGACACTTCAGGTCACTAGAGATAGCCTCTTGTGTTCCCTGCTAACCTCATTGGTTATTGCCACCGACCACCATGTCAATACAGGACACAATATAGTCTGGAGGAAGAAAACTGAACTACTGAGCAGGTAGGCTGGACTCCCTCTACCCCTCTCAAGTTTAAATTTTTAGTTCTGGCTGGAGTGAGTCTTAAGAGCCTCCTTTAGCTCCAGTCAAGTTTGAGAGAAAGATCTTAGTGGAAGTAGGAATGCTGCTTTCAGGAAATTCCAAAAAGCGCTGAAGCTGGCTAAAAATCTTCCAACAGCTTGTTAAAAGTGAAACCCAACATTCCCTTTAGGATCTATGTCCAACACTCCTAGACTGGCGTTGAAGGCTGCTTTAGGTACTTCAACACAGATGATTGAAGAATGCTGAAAGCTATGTATATGTTTATCGTACCCATTGCTCTTCAGACTAACGCTTACAAACTTAAGTCTATGTGAACGTGACATCTGTCAAGTTACCATTCCAATATTAGACACATTTTTAGATACAGCACATACCTATGGTGCAGGATATATAATATATACTTGAAGAGGCTGTTCGAACATCAAATCTTTTGCAGTAAGCAACCAGAAGACCTAAAAAAAAAAATTTTTAAAAAAACTAAGACAGACAATCATACATAAATCATATACTGAAATAAAATTACCTGACCCGCATCAAATATTTTATTTAGGGGTTACAAGTAGGGATGCACCGATACCGATACTAGTATCGGTATCGGTGCCGATACCAAGTATTTGGGTGAGTACTCGTCCAAATGCTCCGATACCTAGCAAGAGTACTTCCTGTATCAGGAAGCCGGGCAGCGCATCATTACACACTGCCCGGTTTCCTGATTGGCCAGGAAACGGCTCCATGCTCTTGTGATGAGAGAGCATGGAGCCGACTTCCCGGCCAATCAGGAAGCCAGGTAGCGTGCAATGACGCGCTGCCCGGCTTCCAGATTGGTCAGGAAGCTAGCAAATCCGGAAGCCGGGCGCCGTGTAATGACGCAGCGCCCGGCATTCTGATTGGCCGGGAAGCCGGCGTCATGCTCCCTCGTCATCTCATGAATCATAATACTAAGAAAGTGACCTTAAAGCATTAGTTTGTATTGCTTTAGAAAAAATGTGACCTGTCCCTTTATGAAAAAGTATTGGTAATTGGTATCTGCGAGTACTTGATCAAAAGTATCTGTACTCGTACTCGGTCTTAAAAAAGTGGTATCGGTGCATCCCTAGTTACAAGCATCTCTGAAGCTTAGCAATGTAATCACGTATGGGTTTATTATAAGTTTAGGCTCTAATTATTAAATCATTTGCATACCTCCCCCAGAGGTTCTGAAAACATGACCTTCATTTTTGTATTTGAGAAACACTGGTCTAACCTATACAATTAGCCTTCCAGCCAAAATAAATAAAATTTACCATCAACCTTTAGAATAAACAGTTCATCTTAAAAGTGAAGCTGTGCTCTGCCTATACAGGGCTAAGCAACAGGTACAGTTAATTGTGAGCCCCTACGTCCACATTGCCATAGTGAATATACTTCAATATGTCTAATTAGCCTACTCTTGTCTACTGTACACAGCAGCACTTAAGGAGGAGGGCCACCACTAAAAGCTAAAATGCTACAGTGCACACGCTGACAGGAGGATAGAACAGAGTAATGACTAATCACTGTGCTTCTGTAATGTCCAATCAGCAGGCAGGGAGCCTGACTGAGCTGTGCTGCTGTCACAGGGGAGATTAAGGGATTGCCTGTGCAATATGGCAGGAGTACTTGGATCCCAAAGCTTCCATAATATGTATTTCAACAGAGTATTAAGTCTAGAGTTTGCAGTTTGCCTGTCTAGAGTTTTTTGCACCTCATATTTGCCTAGAGAAGCAGTGTAATGGAAGTCTGCACAAGAGAAAGAACATTGCAACATGCAAAGAGGGTTATATGGAGGTGTTGGACCAAATGCCAATAAAACATATACATAAATGTATTTCCTCACTCACCAGGTACAATGATATCTCCAAAGCCCAACAAGGACATAGGTATCTCGCATAATGTTACAGCAGAATACTGAAGCCTAGGAACCCTAATGACTACAGGTAACTGGAAGACAAAAAAAAACACGAAAAAAAGGCACACTTGAGAATAACCAACAAGTGAGTATAAAATACTCTAGAAACTATGGATGGCCATGATACTCTAATTTCCTTTTAACAATTTGCAGAAAAGGAAAGAGAAATTACGAATGGTCTGTGAAGGTTCTCATTTTATTATTATACAGGATGTATATAGGGCCAACAGTTTGCGCAGCGTTTTACAACATATAGGGAGACAGTACAATTACAATACCATAAAAAAGGATTAGAGCACCCTGCTCGTGGGAACTTACAATCTACAAGGATGGGCAAGTGATACAGAAGGTAATAACTGTGAGAGATGAGCTGATTGATAGGAGTAGATGTACAGTTTTTAACAGGAGGTGGAAAAGGCTTCCATGAAAAGGTGAGTTTTCAAGGATCGCCTAAAGGCAGACAGATTAGGAGATAGTCGGATAGCTTGTAGTAGGGAGGATGGGAGAGGCCCTAGAGAAGTCCTGGAGGCGAGCATGGGAGGAGGTGATGAGGGAGCTAGACAGCAGGAGGTCTTGGAAGGAGGATGTTTGGGTGAAATCCTGAGATGAGGATGTAGGTGGGGGCAGGGTTGTAGATGGCTTTGTATGTTGTTAGTATTTTTAAATCTATGCGTTGGACTATTGGAAGCCAGTGGAGGGATTGGCAGAGAGGGGTGGCGGCCACTGAGGGTTGATAAGGTGGACGAGTCTGGCAGCAGCAGTCATGATAGACTGGAGGGGGGTTAGTCTGTTTAGAGGTAGGCCAGTGAGAAGGGAGTTGCAGTAGTCAAGGCGAGAGATGACGAGAGAGTGAATTAGTTGAATGGTGGTGTTATTTGTTAGGAAGGGGCAAATTTTGGAAATGTTACGGAGATTAAAGTTGCAACAGACTCAGGAGTTAAACCTAAATGCATTCAAGTATCTTAACTATGAACAAATCCTCAAATCATCTCTGAATTGGGGCTGACACTGTCCTTCCTTCTGGAGGGTGGCTACTTTTGTTCCCCATGGTCCCTGTGTGTGTTGTAAAGTAGTCACCGCTCCAAGTTCCCTCCAGTGATGGACTACAATCTCATTTTTAGTTTACTAATGTGTATTGAGATTGTAGTCCATCACGGGAGCGAGCTTGTAGTGCTAGGTGTTGTTTAAAGAGCAGATAATGTCTATGTTTGTACATATTGAAAATTCTACAATTTCCGTGTACAGTACTTTTTTTTTTTCACATGAAGAAAACAACTCTCTCTCTCTCTCTCTCTATCTATCTATATATCTATATATCTATATATCTCTCTAGATAGATAGATAGAGAGAGAGACAGAGATATATATATATATATATATATA